ACTGAGGAAGAAAGATCACAAGTTCAAAGCCAGCTTCATAAACCTAGCGAGACTCTCAGCAACTTAGTGAGAACCTATCTCAAAATAAAAAATAAAAAGGACTTGGGATGTGGTTCAGTGTTGAGTGCCCCCTGGGTTCAATCCCTGGTAGCAAAATGTAAATCAAAAAAAGAAAAACAATAAATAAAGTAAAACATGAAGAGAAAAACTTCTCAGCATCTTTTTTATTTTCCTGAAGAATTTTTAAAATTGAAATATAATTTGCACACCATCAAATTTACCCTTGTAAACTTGTAAATTCAGCGAGGTGCAGTGGCACATGCCTATAATTCCAGTGGCTTGGGAGGCTCAGGCAGGAGAATTGTATGTTCAAAGCCAGCCTTGGCAACTTAGCAAGGCCCTAAGAAACTCAGCAAGACCCTGTCTCTAAATAAAATTAAAAAGGACTGGGGAGGTAGCTCAGTGATTAAGTACCTCTGAGTTCAATCCCCAGTATAAATAAATAAATAAATAGCAAAGTATTTTTACAAAAATAAACAAAGTATTTTTGGTTCAGTGTTTTGCACAAAGCTGTGCACCTACTATCACTAATTCCAGAACACTGTCATTGACTCCCATTAAAACAACAACAACAACAACAACAAAAAAAAAACATTCGCACTAGCAATTGTTCTTTTTTTCTCCCTCCCCTAAGCCATGAACACCACAAATAGATTATCTCTTTTGATTTTCCAGTCTTTTTTCATGGAACTGAAACACAGAGAGAGGTAATTTTGCATAGGGTTGCAAGAGTCACTTAGTAAGAAAGCAGGGTTATGGCACACCTACTTACAATATTTCTAAGTGTATAAAAACAAAGTGAAAATGTTTATTGTACCTATACATATCTAGAATATGAAGACATCCGATAAAAGCAGAGTTCTTACAACAGCCATTCTTAGTTGTTGTCTCGCTAGGGACAGGCAAAGATGTTAGACAAGAATCACTAAAAAGAAAGAGAGATCCTACTGGGCGAAGGGAATTGTACTTATGAACAGGGAAAGTATGAGGTTATGTGATTTAAGGCAAACATTTGTCTTTTCAAACAAGGGTTTTGAAATTAGTGCTCCTATAAATGCACATGAGAAAAACAAACGAATTAAAACTCATTCTAAAGTTAAAAAAAGAGAGAGAGAGAGATGAAGAAATTAGTGGTCTTATGCCCAGGAGTCCATTTACTATTTGTTTCCTTATACAGTTGCCCCACAGGGTCTTATAGATCTTTAGATTGTTTCTAGTTTGTTCATGAAGAGTTAATGCAATAAGAGTACTAAAACCACTTCAAAATACTTACTGGTTAATGACACCTTGAAAAAAAAAAGGAACCTTGAATTTTAATATTCTGTCTGCATTTTCAGATAAGTAAAAAAAACTAACAGCTTAACTTACCTCTCTTGTCATTATAAATGTGTACACAGGAGCAGTAATACCATAGACTAAAGTCATCAGAATGCATTTGCAAAAATAATTAGGCACACGTTTTATTTTATGTCTTAATCAACATTACAAATACCATTTAACAAAGGAAAAAAGGATGAAAACTTCTCATCACACAGAAAAAAATTCATCATTCAAAAGAGATTAATCTGAACCTCAACATTATCTGTGCTCATTCAAAAAATATTATTCAAACAGCCATTCAAATAGAAAAGTCAAAACTAAATATTTTATTAATTATAATTGAGTCCCCCAAACAACTAAGATTATACAACTTAGAAATAAATCTCTTGTTTTTAATCTAGAAAATTCTGATTTACTAACAAAAATGTATACACAAAAGCCTACTATTGGGTGAGTAAACAAATTTTCTTTTACAAACAAGTTATTTTGAGTTACAGAGATCCTTCTAAGGACTACATTATCATTTTCTTAAAAATAAAAATGACTGCTGAAAAAGCTTACTTAGCCAATCTATTCCTAGAATTGGTCACTAATAGAGTGAACATTTAAAGTGGAAATTCCTTGCCCACTAAGTAGTTTCATAATATTATTACTATGTATGTAAATTAACTTAAAAGTCAATTCTTAAATTCTCTATAGTGAGAATGCTTTGGTACCAATAAATTAGAATTAGGGAATCAAAATGTATTTTATATGTAGTATTAGAGTGTATTTTTGGAATTAAATTGAAACATACCAACATATAAAAAATCAAAGTCTTATTTCTCTGTTACATATAATATTTTGAGGAATGAACAGGCTAACTCTTTTGAATTATTGGTATAAATAAAGGATCAGCCCAAATGTTCCTACCAAAAGATCACAATTTAGGGTAAAAGGTAAACAAAGAATTAAATAAAACACTCTTTCTCCTTTTTGATATGAGCATCAGGATACTGAAATAAAATAATTTCAATAAGTACTTCCAGAATATAACCATTTTAGTTCTCCCATATTATAGGATGCTAAAAAGAACCACACAAAATAAAAAGAGAAAAAAATTTAAAATAAGTTTAAAAATAAAGAAAATTATTTTAAAAAAGAGACTGGGCAAGGGAAGAGGGTAGATTTAGGGAGAAACTCGAAAAATTCAGAGCATTATTATTATAAATTCTTCTTAAATTAAACCCAAGGTGGAACACATTGCACATAAGATCTAAACAATTTTTTGATTAAGTTTAAGATTGTTGGATAATGCACATAAACTATCAACACATTTTCACTTTAACAGGCAAAAGAGAAACAAAATAGTCACAATTACACAACAATTATAATTTTTTATATGGTCATCCTAAATAATTTTCTTAAATTCAGATTTTGTAAAGTTCCTACTTGACAAGTCATCAAACACTAAAAACAACATCATCTATGAATATTGTGGACTAATTTTTTATGGAATGTCATGCATTTTTTTTAATAATTCTAGACCAAAGTGAAGTAAATTTAGATTTAATTCTAAATTCTGTCTGTGATGTCTAGATACAACACTGGTACAAAATCAGTGAAAAATACTTTTACAAATGTATGTTTAATTCTGAAGTAATTTAGTTTGGAAAATGTTTGTTATTAGTTAAAAGATTACATTTAGACCTTAAAAGATTTAAAAACAAAATTGGTTCAACAACTGTCAAAATGAAATGACTACAAACTCAAACTACAACAACTTTATATCCACAAAAATATACTATTTTATATATACTAGTTCAGTTCACTTTAAAAAATTTTTCTTTTGTCCAGGCTCACTCCTGGACTGAACATTGCTCAACTGTTCAACATTACCTATGTTAAGCGAAGACATAAAAAGTATTGTAGAAATTGCACAGTGACTGAGTCTGAGAAAGGGAGAATGTACAATCAACATCTCAGAGCTGGAAGGGATCATCAAGCTCCAGTTCAGTACTCACAGATGAGGAAACTGAAGCCCAAGCATGTTAAATGACTTGATCAAAGTTACGTGCGTTGTCTGAGCCATTCATTCATTCGGTCACTCATTTACTCACTTACTAAAAGATACCTAAGTGCCAGGCTGCTAGGTGCTGAAAATGAGATAGAAGGCAACATTCATAATTGCCAAGACAGTCTTTTTAACCTGTGATCTTAAGACAAATTCTTCAGTTTTTAGATCAGCAAGAGATCGTAGAGGCTTTTGCAGAACCTGGCTTGCTTTCAGTTTCACACATTTCAGTAAACACACTCGGGTTTAATTTCAGGGAGGCCTCAACTTGTTTGCTTTACATGATTAAGCATTAACAAAGGGGAACACGGTATTCTGAATGAGTCCCTTTCTAGTACATTCATAACTTAAGGAAGTGCAATCAGAAAACGCCCTAGACTCACAAATAAATTCACAGAAAGGACAGCTTACAAAACTAATGATTCGAGGTATAGGTCAGTTAAGTCCAACAGCTCAAGTTTACAAATAGAGGAATGTAAATATCTCCCCTTTCATTCAGATGTGGGTATGGTTTTCTGAGATGCTGTATGCTAAAAAGACTTCCAAATTCACATTCTGATGCCCTCTTCCAATGACAATATATCTAAACTAGACCTTTTTCTTCTTATGATCAACTTTCTTTGATTTCTACTTGACTAAAGGAAAATTAGTTTAAACAATAAACAAAACCTAAAATTTAACGTGCTGGCTGAAAGAAATTAAAATTCTATGCAATCAAAATAGCAATAGCTCAATTTATGAGTTTTTAGGGGAAAAAATGCAATGTGCAGTGAATTTACCCATCAACATAAATCATACCCAATTTTGCTTGGACTTTTACATTCTGTAATGTTAAGTCTGGCACTTAAGTGTTCTGTATATCTCAATTCACAGTCAATTTAAGGAGAAGAGACCATATAGACAAATCTCTTAAGTAAAACAACTCATAAGTAAGGCACTTTGAAATATTAAACAGCAGCACTTTGTGTACTCAGTTTCAGTGTAATACCCCAAAATGAGCCACAGAATTTCTAGTGCTCTCACAGATGTCTGTTGAGTGACTTCTGATAAAATATAATCTTCACTGAGGCTACTGTCAGCTCAAGATAAAAGTGCTGTTGTGCTCTTCTATTTTTCAAAACGCCAAAGCTGATTATTATCTAGGGCATCACAAGTCCTCATTTGTACCTTAGGTAGGCCCTCAGGTGTCCGATAAGCACTAAGACATAGTCCTGAGTGTGGATGAAAAATGGTTCCATCGTCTTTAAAATGCCAAATAATGTTTACTGGAACAGGGAACCCATCTTTAGGACAATTTTGCATTCCTACATAGTTTTTTTGCTCAGGAACCTCTGCACATAACTCAGTCACAGAATTAAACCGTATTTCTTTGTTTGAAGTATATTCAAAGAATTGATTGCCTCCTTGACCATGGCATCCAAACAATGAAAGGTTAGCACCTGTTGGGTTGTTGTCAGGAGAATTATAATCTAAACATTCCGAGGAGATGCCTATACTGCGAATAGCCCCATGCCACCCTGCTCTATCCTCTGGTATATGTAAATTAGAAAACACATTTTTCAAATACCAGTCAAAGCTCTTGCATCTAAGTCGTTCTCGTAGTAATTTTCTTTCAGAAATATCTCCATAAGCTTCTTTCCGTGCTGGAGGGTTTCGATTGTAGAAATGTTCTTTGTATTCATCCATCCATACTTCCGCTGCCCGGGCAGTATTCTGTAGGAAATTGGGGCGAGCATATGGTGCCCGCTTAGGGAACACATGGCCCACGTGAGAACATGGGTGGATCTCCAATTTACCACCACACTGCCACACCCTAAATGACAGCTCAAGGTTTTCACCTCCCCACACTTCCATTCCAGTGTCATAGGTTCCTAGGTACTGAAAATATTTTTTGCTGACAGCAAACAGTCCTCCGGCCATGGTAGGTGATCTGATGGGGTCAATTCTTGATTGCCGCCTGTCCCTTTCATGCTTGGGGACAGAATGCCACTGAAAAGTTAAACGCCAATCAAACCCACCAATCATGGGCTCCCCCGTCTGCATATAGAATTCAAAAGTATTCCAATCAATAGTGTCTATAACAGGACAAACAATTGCTGTTTCATCTGTATCAATCCTTTCCAAAAGTGGTTCCAGCCAACCAGAATTACACTCGCAGTGACAATCCAAGAAAGTGAGGACCTGCCCAGTGGCAAAAGTGGCCCCAATTAGGCGGGCCCTAACCAGTCCCTCTCGCTTATTGGTTCTAATCAAGCGAACTCTATCAAGCTTACTGATGTAAGTTTCAAGTTGTGCCTTCAAATACACTCTGTCACTCAAGTCATCAACCAAGATGATCTCCTTCAAAAGGACTGCAGGGGAAGTTTCTAAAACACTGTGAATGGTGCGAAGCAAAGTCGACCAGGCTTCATTATAGAAAGCAATGATAACAGAGGTGGTGGGAAGCTTCCTATAGTTGAACTTCTTGGATTTACACTCATACATTCTTTTATCCTCTATGTGGCGATGCAGAGAGATCCTGTCACTGAGATAAATATTGATAGCATATCTCTCAATGAGTTCTTCTTGCTTCTTCAGTTCCTCCTCATTGAGCTGGAGTTTGCTGGCTCTTCCCCACTCCCCAAGGGCATGGGAATCTGCAGGAGGCTTTTCATAAAGAGGTCGAGACAAATCCTCAGTCTTTTCCGCAAAGTTTGAGTGCCTTCTAGACCCCCGTTGCCTGGCAAGGCCGGCTCCTGAGGAAGCGTGGAAGGTAGTGACCGAGAGCTCCACCAGGATATAAGCCACTGTTACGAGCGCCAGCAGCAGGCAGCTCTTGCCTGCCCACGTCCACCTCACAGCCATCCGGATCCTCCAGGCTAGGACGTAGACCCGGCCACCAAGCCACCACGCAGAAGCGCTGCGAAACCCGCAACTTGAATGCCCGGCTCAGGTAGGGGTGAGTTTTCCAGCAGGTCCTTCTTTTCATGCAGGCGCTCGGCTTCTTTCCAGCCACCGAGAGTTTCCCAGAGGCCACCTGAGACCCTTGGGTCCTTAGCCTCCGGCACAGCGCAACTCTTCTTTCCCACTTCCTCCTGCTGCTCTCAGAACTTTTCACAAACTCTCCAGCCAACACCCCACCCTCTCCGGGCCGAGGACAAACCCCTCCCCTTCCCACTCACTCCTCCTGGTGGTTACTTTGCGAAAGTCGTCTGCTAGGCCCAGCCAGCAGGCGGCTCTTGGTCCGACCCAAGTGGGGTGACCAGCTGCCCCAGGCTCCCCAATCTCCAGCCCTTCTTATCCCCCATAGAGGTTCTCAGTGGTTCTCCTGGGGGCCAATCTGGACAAAAGGAAAAGTTTATGGCCAACTAAACTGTTGTTTCATCACAAAAAGAAAAAAAAAAAAAGAAGAAAACTTACCAAGTTGTTTGCCGTTGGGGCTGAAGTTCACAGAGGTGATTGCAGCTTTGTGGCCTTTAAAATAACGCTCCAGAACGGGGTCCTCCTAGGAAGGAAAGTTGTCAAGTTCAGAAAGCAGGTGCTAATCGGAAACTCTGGGGGTCGGGGAACCTGGGCTGCCCCTCCCGGGGGGGTCGGATCGGGAATCGACGCAGGAGGGCGGACCGCAGAATCGGAGCGCTCGGCAGCAGCCTTCGCTCGGGCGCGGCACCCAGCACCCCGACGGGGAGACGCTGGGCGCCGGCTGCCCCGGCAAAGCTGGCAAAATCCTCCATCCGCGCTTCCCAGACTGGAGAGCATCGAAGGGAGGACCACCTGAAGGCTCATTCGAAACGCGCGTTCCCCGGCCCCGCCCTCGGGCGCGGAATCCGCAGGTGCGTGTCGGCGCCCCGGCTCCCGCGCTCTCCGAC